CTGTTGTTGCTGAAGGGAAAATGTCGTCCTTTGCCTATGTTAAGTGTGGTGTCCCACAGGGATCAGTACTTGGTCCGATATTGTTCTCCATTTATATAAATGATTTTCCAATAGTATTGTCCGACTGTAAAGTGCACATGTACGCCGATGACGTCCAATTATATGTTAGTCGACCGTTAAATCGAATAGATGAGTGCATAAATGTTACCAATAGAGAGCTTGAGAAAATTAGTGCGTGGGCAACCAAAAATCGTCTATGCCTCAATCCAACAAAGTCAAAATGCTTGATTATATACAAAAACAAGAAAAAAAATAAATGAAACTATATTGAGACGTGTAGAAATATCAAACACTCCCATTAGCTACATAGAGAAGACAACTAATTTAGGCTTTATAATAAATAGTACTCTGTCGTGGGATGATCATGTGAGCAAAGCAGTTGGAAAAACATATGGGATCTTAAGGGCACTTAATATTACCAAGTAATTTATACCAGTTAGCATCCGGATGCAGATAGCAAAAGCATACCTAGTACCTGTACTCACTTATGGGATTGAGGCATTTGGAAACTGTGGCTACGAAAACAGGCAAAAGTTGAGCGTTTGCTTTAATAATATAGCTAGATACATATTTAGATTAAGGCGCAGCGACAGAATCTCTGCATTCTCCTATAACATTTTCGACATGACTCTTTTCAAATGGATTGACTATAAGATGCTTACGTTCCTACATAAAATAATCCTCACCAGACAACCCCAATATCTGTATGAAAAATTAAGATTTACCAATTCCGCAAGAACGAACAATATTATCACCATACGATATAGAACACTAAACTCTGAGAGACATTTCTTTGTGAATGTTATTCGCATATGGAATCATCTTCCACATCACATGAAAACAATACGAAACCTTTCACAATTCAAAACACAGTTAGGTGCCCACCTTACACTAGACTAAGATTTAAAAATCAAATTCAATTTAAAATAAAATAACACGAACATAAGCATAAGAAAACAAATCAATATATGTAACCACTTATTAGTATGTCATATTAAAAGATTAATTTAGATCTAAGTTTAATCCCAAACTAATGTGACACCTAGTGACTAGTGCTCTAATTATAAGCCCCTTGCTTGTAGCACTAGGAAATACAATAAACAAACAATACAATACAATATGTTAACCATTGTCCCATCCGGATGCCCTTATGAAGCTTGCGATCCGTCTGGACCTGATTGTAGACATGTCCGAAATGTCAATTAGGAAAGGTGCTCCCAAGTATTGAAGTCTCCTTCTACTGAGAGCCGGACAGGAGCAGAACACATGTTCCACAGTCTCCTCCTCGTCCTCATCTCTACAGCTCCGACAGAAGTCGTTATAGGGGGCACCCAGCCTGTTAGCATGGGTGCCTATTAGCCAATGTCCCGTAAGGGAGCGTATGACTGAGCTGCACCTGCTCCTACTGAGTTTGCAAAGCTCATCGGTGCGCTTCCTAGTAATGTTAGGCCATATTTGCCGAGTTATGCGACATAGTGTAACTGTTTGCCATCTGTCATTTATTAGTCGCTGAAAATGTTCTTTTATTTTGAGCTTGCCGGTGTCCATTGGCATACGAATATCCTCCTTATCATGGAGAAGGGGGATTGTTGTACCAGCTCTGGCCAGCTCGTCTGCTATACAGTTGCCTTCAATGTCCTGGTGGCCCGGGACCCATATTAGGCTGATGACAGACTGATAAGCCATCTCATGGAGGGATTTGCGACAGTTTGCCACGGTAGCCGAGCTTGTTGTTATCGCATTCAGCGATTTGATCGCAGCTTGGCTATCACTATAGATATTTATATGAGTTGCCGTAGGGGCACGTTCCTGAAGGCAGCCCAAAGCTTCCCTGATCGCTATGACTTCCGCTTGGAAGATGATCTGGGAGCCTGAAAGAGTGTCTTATGTTCAGCTGTTCGGAGTAGATTCCTCCTCCGACCTTGTTGTCCAGCTTTGAGCCATCAGTAAAGATATGAATGGCTCCATCTGTGCCAGGTGGTCCCTCGAGCCATTTGCCTCTGTGGGGGATAATTATTTCAAAAGGAGTATCTATGTACTCCCTCGGAACACAGAAGTCCGTTTTTGTTGGGACGATCTCGTTCCCGTTTAGGATAGATGCGTGACAGGTGTGCTGTGACACCCATTGGTCGGAGTCCCTCAGACGAATTGCTGCCAGTTCTGCCTGCTCCCTGCCTGCAAGCTCTAGGCTCTCGAGGCATAGGATGGCATTTAGCGCATCATTTGGTGTGGTGCGTAGGGCTCCACTGATGCATAGGGCGGCAGTTCGTTCTACTTTGCCCAGTTGTTTAGTGATGGTCTTTTTTTGATAGGGCACGCCATCACACTGCGACTCCGTAGAGTATTTTTGGTCTAACTATTTCTAGGTATATCCATTGGAATATGCTTGGGTTCATGCCCCATTTCAAGCCAATTGCCTTTTTGCAAGTGTAGAGGGCTATCGTAGCCTTCTTCACTCTGTCTTTGATGCTCAGGTTCCAGCTAAGCTTTTTTTCAATTACCAACCCTAAGTAACTGGCACTGTCGCTGAAGGAGAGCCTGCATCCGTTTAGTATTGGGGGGTTGAACGACGGGATTTTGTATTTGGTTGTAAACAACACAAGTTCCGTTTTAGAGGGATTAACTCCCAGTCCACGCGACTCTGTCCATTCTGACAGTCGCGCAAGCTTTGCGGTCATTAGATCGCAAAGTGTTTAAGGGAATTTTTCCGAGAAGATAATGGCAACGTTGTCCGCGTATGCTACCACTTTGCAGCCCTCCCCTTCCAGGTCACACAGAATCTTGTTGACTGGTATGTTCCATAGAAGGGGAGACAGGACACCACCTTGCGGGGTGCCTCTGTTGACATACCTTGACTGAGTGGACGATCCCATTGATGATGTCACCGTCCTGCATGTGAGCAATTGATCAATGAGCATCACCAAGTGATGATCCACTCCCAGGTCAGTCAGGGCCTCTGTGATGGCTCCTGGTATGACGTTGTTAAAAGCTCCCTCGATATCTAGGAAAGCTATTAAGGAGTATTCTTTGATGTGTAGGGATTTCTCTACCGTCGAGATTACTTCATGGAGTGCCGTTACGGTGGATTTTCCTTTTCGGTAGGCATTTTATGCGCCTGATAGCCACTGCGGATTTATGGTTGTTCTCAGCTGCAGCCCGACTAGTCTCTCAAAGGTCTCTCATTGGCTCCCAGATCATCTTCCAAGCGGAAGTCATAGCGATCAGGAAAGCTTTGGGCTGCCTTCAGTAACGTGCCCCTACGGCAACTCATATAAATATCTATAGTGATAGCCAAGCTGCGATCAAATCGCTGAATGCGATAACAACAAGGTTTTGAGAAGAAAGGACGATAGACTTATTGGTCTGAAGTCTTTTGGGGTTGTGTGTGAGGGTTTCCCTGCTTTGGGGATGAATACTATTTAAGCCTTGAGCCAAGCGCGGGGGATTTTTCCCACTGTCAGTATCTTCCTGAAGATACTTTTCAGCCAGTTGACGCCATGTCCCCGGCTTTTTGTAACTGAGCCGGAATGACTTGGTCCGGGCCACGCGATTTGAAGGATTTAAAGCTGTTTACTGCCCAGCTAATATTACGTTTTGTGAGGATGTGCACCATCGAGGTTTCCGGGCCTTCACTTGGGGTGTCTGCCGGCTCGATGGTCGTGCACCCAGGAAAATGAGTATCGAGTAGAATATGTAGGGAGTCCTCACTAGAGTTTGTACACGTACCATCCATTCTCTTGAGATATCCCACCGAGGGGGCTGTTTTTGACAGGATCTTGCGTAGCCTTGCGGCTTCTGTCGTGTCTTCAATTTCGGAGCAACATTTTTGCCAAGATGCCCTTTTTGCTCTCCTAGTTTCTTTTTTGTATAGGGTTAGTGTAGAAAATTCGAAACTATTTTTGTTTGTTTGTTTGATGCCTTTACTTAGACTTGAGACGCGGGAATTAGCAGTACAGACCAGAGCTGTGGGCGGCGATAAAGGGCGATCAAAAAATAAACCATGCGAAACGAAGTTCAATTTACGAGTGCTTTATTCCCACGCACCGCTTGTCGGCTATGCTGCGGGCGTGTAGTTACATGTTGCTTGGATTTACAGTGGCGGGACTTCATGCCGTAACCTTACGAACTACATTACATTTCATACATAACTGTGGGTTGTGTTTGCAAATCCCTAGACAAAACGAGCGTGAGCGAATTCGCTCCCAAGCGAATTCCCAAAGCACAACAGCAAGCACAACCGATGGCGAATTAAGACATCTGCACAAAGCAGATCGAGAAGAGAGAGGCCGAGGGAGTTTGTCGATCCAGCTGCCGACGTGAGAGGGTTGTGGAAAGAGACCAGACGATGAACGACGCTTAAATTCTATTTCTTGTACCAAATACTATACTTTATCATTTATTAAACTTAATATTAAACCAAAACCCCCACATTTTGGAGGCTCGTCCCGGATTTGAGCGGAAAATTTTTAAGGAACGCGTGGTGGAATTAAGCAAAAATTTATAAGTTACGGTACGACGACGGCGGTACAAGTTACGGAGCTTGAGAACAAACAAAAAACGACGTGGAAATTTAAAAAAGCGGAGAAAATAAAATAGACAATTTTTTTTTTATTTCTTCAAAATGACGTGCTTAAACGATTTAATTCCAAAAAGCCTTCGACGGGCAACGAAGTCAAGCATTGGTGCATTGCACAAATTCGTGTATGAACAAGAAGGAGACCGAAAAAACCGAAGTCGGTTGCGCGATTTTAGTGGTTTCGAATACGACGAAGACGACGCCAGATTTGCAGCAAAGCGCGTATATATACAAGCAAAGCTAACGGACCGTGATCTTGTTTCAATATGTGTTACATTGAACATAAATCACAATGCGGAAAATGTGGCACTCCATATCTTTAGGAATCTGATGGAAGGAGAGCTGCTGCAAAACAACAACGACGATGAGGACAACGATAATGAAGACGACACTGATAAAAGAGGACGACGAGGAGGGAATAGACGAAAACGAAGATCAAGAGAACGATGCAGAAGCTGTGCTTGAGAGACGCGGGAGTGAGCGAGAAAGCTATAACAACATGCACACAAGAGAGATCCCAACAACAAGTCGACAAAGGAATAGAGAACGAAGCAACGAGCAACGGCAGAACTACGATGAGCAGGCCGCACCCCGTTTTGCCATAAGTTTTCGCGATATAGAAGAGTCTATCCGAGTGTTCGATGGCTCTGATGATATGGCTGTCGAAGAATGGATACAAGATTTCGAGGAACAGGCAGAGTTTATGCGTTGGACAGATTTGCAAAAACTTATTTTCGCAAAGAAGTCGCTAAAGGGCATTGCCCGACTATTTGTTTTGAGTGAAAAACATTTGAACTCATGGACAACGTTGAAGAACGCGCTATTGAACGAATTCAAGTCGAAAATCAGTAGCAAACAAATACACATGCAGCTCAACGAGAGTAAACGACGACCCAAAGAGAGTGTTTTGGAATTTTTTTATCGCATGAGAGATATTGCTTCGAGAGGCAATGTGGAAGACGACGCACTTATGCAATACGTGATTGACGGTGTTGACGAGATGGCATTAAATAAAACAATTTTATATGGTGCAAAAATGATGAGTGACTTTAAAAACAAATTAAATGATTATGAGAAAATTACCGAGAAAATGAAAAAGAGTGATAAAATTGGAAGAGATAAAAAGTTGCAGTTTGGACAAAATAATACACAGGTTGGCAAAAAAGACGTAGTTTGTTTTAACTGTGGAGAGAAGGGACATTTGTCTAACAGTTGCGCCAACAAAGAAAAAGGAAGAAAGTGCTTCAAATGTAATCAGTTTGGGCACATATCTAAAAATTGCAAGGAAAATAGTGAGAAACAAAACGATGAAAAACAAAACATGCGCGTAGTTTCAAATAAAACTGAATTAACGTCTAAAGAAGTTTCGATTAAAAATGCAAAGTGTATGGCATTATTTGACACTGGCAGTAAATTTAACATTATACGTGAAGATTTATACGACGAACTGCGTATGCCAAAATTAAAAGACTGCAGAGTGTGTTTGGTCGGTTTCGGAAGTGAGAGCAAAGCTGACAATATCAAGCCGATTGGTCAGGTGAACCATAGCATACATATTGACAATGAAGAATATGTGTTAAACTTTTATGTTGTTGCTGCAAGGTTCATGGACATAAAACTGATAATAGGGGAAGAGCTTTGTTTGCACGCAGAAATATCGTTTAATCGCAATGGAGTGAAAGTGAGTAAAATGCCAAATGAAAATAAAGAAGATCCTTATGATGAATCGTGCATAATGAGAATCGACGTAGCGGTAGACAATTCTCAGCTGAACATAAGCAACGCGGTAAACGAGTTTACACAAAGCAAAGTACGCGAAATTATATCGACGTATAAACCGGAAAAATCAAAAACAACGAATATTGAAATGAAAATAATTCTAAAAGACGAAACGCCAATATTTTCGCGGCCACGACGATTTGCGATAAATGAAACACGCATCATAGAAGACCAGATCGACGAGTGGCTGCAGAAAAAGGTAATTGAGGAGTCAGAGTCAGAGTTCACGAGTCCGGTTGTATTGGTGAAGAAGAGCGACGGCACGCCACGTCTATGCATTGACTTTAGACGTATCAATAAAGTCATCGTAAAAGATCATTTCCCGTTGCCGTTAATAGATGACCAGCTAGATCGTTTGCAAGACGCTGTAATATTCAGTACAATTGACTTGAAGAATGGGTTCTTCCATGTTCCTGTAGCCGAAGAGAGTAGGAAGTACACCTCATTTGTGACGCAAAGCGGCCAGTACCAGTTCCGCAAGGTGCCGTTTGGTATGTCGAATTCGCCCGGAGTATTCAAAGGCACATTGGTGCAATTTTTCGACAGCTGACTAGAAAAGGAATAGCACTTCCATATGTTGACGACGTAATCATTCCAGCCAAAGACGAGCAAGAAGCATTGACAAATCTGAAAGAAGTTCTCAAAACGTGTGAAGAGTATGGGATTGAGCTGAATTTTAAAAAGTGTCATTTCTTGCAAACACGAATCCAGTTTCTTGGCCATATCATCGAAAATAAAAAGCTGTATCCGACCCCGTTGAAGATTGAAGCCGTTTCTAAGTTCAAAACGCCGCAGACACTGAAACAGCTTCAGAGTTTTTTGGGTCTTACAGGCTATTTTAGAAAGTTTATCTACAATTACGCGGTTATAGCGAGACCGTTGACTGACCTTACAAAAAACAATGCAAAGTTTGTAATTGGCCCAGACGAAGAGAACGCTATTGGCGTGTTGAAGAAATGTTTGACATCAAACCCAGTACTAGCCATGTACAATCAGAAGTACGAGACAGAACTCCATACGGATGCATCCATAGACGGTTTTGGAGCCGTGTTGATGCAAAAATCACCAGACGACGACCAATTGCATCCAGTATACTACATGAGCAAGAAAACGACGGATGCGCAGCGCAAATACACTAGCTATGAGTTGGAAATACTTGCGGTCATTGAGGCATTGACGAAATTTCGGGTGTATCTTTTGGGCATACCATTCAAGATTATAACGGACTGCAACGCGTTCACCAAAACACTAGAGAAACAGAATCTATGTACAAGGGTGGCCAGGTGGATAATGCTTTTGCAGGAGTATAACTATAAAGTTGAGCATCGTGCAGGATCCCGAATGCGTCACGTGGACGCACTCTCACGATATCCCGTTATGTACATAAGTGACGGAAGCATTTTAGCTGGCATAGAAAAGGCGCAAAAACAAGACGAACATTTGAAGACGATCATGAAGCTCATCAGCGATGACAATCAACAATACGACGACTACTTTATAAAGTCCGGAATTCTTTACAAATTAGTCAAAGATGCTGAATTGATGGTGGTTCCAAGGGATATGCAGAAAACTATCATCGGCAAGGCTCACGATAGAGGCCACTTTGCTATCAAGAAGACGAAGGAGTTAATCTGCAAGGAGTACTACATACCAAATTTAGACGACAAAATCAAGAAGTACATCGACTGCTGTATACCTTGCATATTAATCAACCGCAAGCGAGGTAAACAAGAAGGTCTTTTGCACCCCCTGCAAAAAAGATGACGTGCCGCTGCAGACGTACCATATTGACTTTTTGGGTCCACTAGAGTCAACCAGCAAGAGCTATAAACATATACTAGCTGTTATCGACGCTTTCACGAAGTTTTGCTGGTTATACCCTACAAAGTCAACTACATCTAACGAGGTCATTTTAAAGCTACGCAGCCAAAGCGTGACGTTTGGCAACCCTGCTTGTATCATTTCAGATAGAGGCTCAGCATTTACCGCCCAAGACTTCCTGCAGTACTGCGAAGACGAAAACATCAAACTGGTGAAGACGACTACAGGACTTCCACGGGTAAACGGACAGGTGGAAAGGCTCAACGCAGTGATCATCTCCGTGCTTGCCAAGCTCAGTATAGACGACCCTTCGAAATGGTTTAAGCACGTAGATCGAGTCCAGCGAGCAATAAACTCAACATACACCAGAAGCATCGATACCACACCTTTCGAACTTTTGATGGGTGTCAAGATGCGTACCAAAGATGACCAGCAGCTTCAGAGTTTGATCCAGAAAGAGTCCATCATTGCATTTGAAGACGACCGCAATGAGCTACGGGCAAAAGCAAAGACTCAAATTCTGAATCTGCAAGACGAGAACAAGAAGACATATAACCTGCGACGTAAAGCAGCCAGGCAGTATGACATTGGCGACCTAGTTGCCATAAAGAGGACTCAGTTTGGTAGCGGACTCAAACTAAAACCGAAGTTTTTGGGTCCGTACCAGATCATTAAGGTGAAACATAACAATGCTTACGACGTCAAAAAAGTTGGCAATTCCGATGGGCCTAAGCACTCTTCTTCGTGTGCGGAGTATCTGAAGCCATGGTCCACGAGCAACGACGAAGAAAGCGACGATGCATTCGAGGCGAGTGCATAGTCAGGACGGCCGGATGTGGGTTGTGTTTGCAAATCCCTAGACAAAACGAGCGTGAGCGAATTCGCTCCCAAGCGAATTCCCAAAGCACAACAGCAAGCACAACCGATGGCGAATTAAGACATCTGCACAAAGCAGATCGAGGAGAGAGAAGGCCGAGGGAGTTTCGATCCAGCTGCCGACGTGAGAGGGTTGTGGAAAGAGACCAGACGACGAACGACGCTTAAATTCTATTTCTTGTACCAAATACTATACTTTATCATTTATTAAACTTAATATTAAACCAAAACCCCCACATAACTTCATTGCTTTCTACTTATTGACTATTATTCTATGGTGTAACGACATTCCGGCCGCCTTGAACGACCGCACGTCGGGCTTCAACCCATCGGCCAGCTTGTGGATTGGGCGTCTAATAACGCCACCTCCTGTCCGCACCTCGGACGCCCTGACCTTGGCGTCCGCCCCCTAACGACACTGGTGATCCTGCCGGTGATCCACCGCTGCGGTGGCGTATGGTCGTCGTGGACCACCACCATGGCGCTGACCTCGATGTTGGCCTCTGGGGTTTGCCAGGTTGTGGACGTAGTCTTTCGACCAAGCCTGCCAGAACCGCCGTTTGAGCTCGGAGAGTAGTTGCCACCTCTTGGTAAAGGTGGTACCGCTGCTCCGTCCGTCTGGCTCGCACCCTTGCGGCAGCGAACGAAGGGGCTGGCCGATCAAAAGTGGCCTGGCGTAAGCACCTCTCCGTCGTTTGGATCCGTACTGGCTGGAGTGAGCGGCCTGGAGTTCATGATGGCTTCGGCCTCGGCCAACACGGTCCTCACCTCGCTCTCGGTGAGCGCGGCGTCCGCGACCTGCCGCACGATCAGGAGCTTTGCCGACTTGACGGCCGCCTCCCATAAACCACCGAAGTGCGGTGCTCGCGGGGGATGAACTTCCACTCCATCCCTTGCTCCGCCGCGAACGTCCTCAGGCTGGACTGCTGCTCCTCGAACGCTTCCTGAAGCCTCTGCAGCTCGTTCCAGGCTCCGACGAAATTTGTCCGTTGTCGGAATACGTCCTCAGCGGAACGCCACGTCTTGCGATGAAGCTTTTTAGAGATAAAAGAAAACAATTAGTCGACAGGTCTGGGACAAGCTCTAAATGGACGGCCTTCGAAGCGAAACACACAAATACCGCAATGTACATTTTGAGCGGCTGACGACCTCGAATCCGAAGCGAGACGTTGATGGGACCACAAAAGTCTACCCCGCAAATCAGGAACGGACGACCTTCCCTAAACCTGTCTGCTGGAAGATTCCCCATAATCTGACCCATCAATTTAGGTTTGTATCGAAAACAGTGGATGCATCTCCTCACTATGCGAGTGCATTCTCGACGTGCATTTACTAGCCAAATCTCTTGTCTAGGCAAACTTACTAATGTCAATTTTAGAGACGATTGCTGCAACTCCTTTGCAGTTAGCTCCCTGTAACGTCCCTTGTTCTTGCCGATATTAGCAAATCGGTATACATACGCAAAAACTCGAACTAATTTGGGGTACGACGAAAAACGAGAAAATATTTCATTTGAAAACGAGTTCGCAACGCCAATTAGAACCTGGGCGGACCGTTTCGCCTCGGAGTTCTTCACAGCATCTGGGATGTTAAAATGCGGATTCTCTGGCCAACAATGCTCAGGCTCACATAAAAATTTCGGACCTTCTAGCCATATGGACTCCAGGAGCTCAGGCACTTCGCATCCGCGAGACGCCAAGTCCGCTGGATTCGACAGCGATGGGACATGACGCCACGACACATGACACCTGACATAGCTCCTGAATCATGGCTACTCTATTTGAGACAAATACTGCAAGTGACGACGGTTGGGTTTTAATCCAATGTAGCGTTATTTCTGAATCCGTCCAGAAAAATACGCTCTCGATTCGACACTTTTCCAAAACTTGCTTTACGTAGGCCCAAAATTGCGCCAATAACGCTGCGGCGCACAATTTGAGCCTCGAGATGGTCTTTGTTTTTAGGGGAGCTACTCTTGCTTTCCCAGCGATCAATCGAACGTACGTTTGACCTTCGAAAAGCGCTCGCACATAAATGCAGCACCCATACGCTTGACTAGACGCGTCCGCGAAGCCATGCACTTGAATCGACGAGCACCCACTAGCCATAACGTACCGAGGCACGGCTATTTTGTCAAGACCACACAAGTTTAGCTTTAGCCTCTCCCAGCTTGTATGCAGTGACATTGGGATGGCTTCATCCCAATCCAGCTGAAGCTGCCACAGCTCTGGAGGAAAATTTTCGCTGTTATGCTGATTGGACTAAGTAGCCCAAGCGGATCAAACAGTCGAGCACTAATTGACAGAATGGTGCGCTTAGTCGGATTCAAGTTTGTGAAGCTATCTTCCAAGTGATACCGGAACGTATCTGTTCTTGGACTTCACCTCATCCCCAATGTTTTGGTCGAATCGGAATCATTGAATGATAGGGATTTCTCCTCATTGTTTCCATCCATTAGTTCTGGATGGTTCGAAAACCATTTCGAAAGCTGAAACCCTCCGAGCCAAGAATCTAGACACCTGATCGCAAATCGACTTCAGCGTGTCTACGTCATCGGCTCCATGTCGTCTACATAAAAATCACTGCAGATCACCTCAGAACCCTTCTTGTGAGTGTCTCTGTGGCGTACACCGAGCTCGTGCAAACAACGAATGGCAAGGAAAGGTGCTGCGGAAGTACCATAGGTAACTGTGTTCAACCGAAAAATTTGCAATTGATCGGTGGGATGTTCTCGCCACACGATGAGTTGGAAATTCCGGTCTTTTACGGCCACATCCACTTGCCTATACATTTTCGAAACGTC